TAGTGTTTGGTTTACTATAGAACCAGTTGTTCTTCATCCAGATGGTGAGTTGTTTCTATGTATTCCGCTGTAAGCCATTCTTCACACTAAAATTTCTAGTTGTAGTTGTAATAAGACAATTAATTTGTATGAAAATATAACAACATAGATCTGCAGTTTTATGGACAAAATGGTGATCCAGTGTGTCCTTCTTGGGTCAGATTTTTAATTGTAATAGATGTGCCTGTAAATTATATTAGGTGTGATAGATTTGCCATATTCATTTGAATTACTTGGTGATATGTTTTTGAGCTTGATATCTGATTGTGATACTCCATTTCCTTTCAGAGGACAGGAAGGGCCCCCCTGTGGACACAGCTCTGTTCATTCTTAGAGACAAACCTGACTCTGCTGGCCACAGACTGGTCACTTTTACAGAGCAGAGAGATACCAAAGGGGTCAGTTTTGAAAGGGGTTAATTCTTATTTTACAAGTAATACTTCACATCCTACATGGCCTTACCAGACAATTTGTTGTCTTTTCATTGGCATTTTTGCATTTACTTATTTATTACCGGTTGAAAGGTATACTGGAGTTACGGAAATGCTTTTTAATTGTTTCAGAAATACTGTGTGCGATGTGATTTGAAAAAAGGCAAGTATAGTTTACTGCCTTTCACTACTGGATGCAGGCTGAGGAAGAGGAAAACTGCCCCCAAAGCAGAGACCAAACTGATCAGGAAGGACCCGGATGACAAATATGTGTTGACCAAAGCATTTAGGTACGTCACATGTCCATATAATTATGCCTGATATTATCAATGAAAGACTGAATATTTGTTCTGCAATCTGTTGAGATGAGATGAGATATTCAGTAACTAGAACTTTCAGAAACTGCACCTAAACTCCATAAAAAGAATATTGATCAAAAAGAACAATAAGATCTTTTGTTTTGAAAAAGGAAGATAATTAGTCTGAATTATCAGTTGCATATTGTTCAGATATTTCTGGGTAACCACTTTCATGCAAGGCACCAGAAAAATTAAAATTCAGTCCCTTTGTAGTTGAAAATTTCCATTGAATGCTCCTTCAAGTATGTTTGCACATTTATTTGTTTGTTTGCTCGTTTATACAGGGATGTTCTGTCTGACATATTTGAAATGGCTGATCTGGATGGAAATGGATTGCTAAGTCGGAGTGAGTTCAACTTGTATAACGTGAGGACAAGTGGTGAGGAGGTGGCTGACGAGGAGTGGGAGGTGGTGGAAGGTGAGCTGGTAATTCTATAATGAAAGTATTATTCCCCATTCAGAATAGGGGACTAACTAGTCCAAGGGCGAAATATGGTGACCCACTACTAAGCTTGTTGTCTAATCTGCTAATAGACACTGAATAGATATCCTGTGGGGAAGTATTCAAATGGGTCGGCCATATTCGACCCTCAGACTAGTTAGTCCCCTATTCTGAATGGGGCCTTACATGAGAATTAACCGAAGTCAATAACTGCTGATATAATTGTCTGTTCTTATAGTCGTTGGTAAGTGCATGGCATGGAAAATAATTCAAAATTGTGAAATAAAATGGATTCACAAAATAAGGTGCTGTTGATGTTTAAAATTTCAGACAATGTTGAAATCAAGAAAGGAGAACTTACCAGAAAAGGCTTTGTTGATCTCAACCAGATGGAAGCAGATGACAACGAGGGTGATACGGAGGACTTGTGGGTAACCTTGCAGAGCATGGGATACAACAAGGAGTTAATTTTGGATGAGGTGAGTCTCTTTTAAAGCCAGTATGAAGAATGTAACACTGATAATTGGAAATACTGTAGCATGGCAAAGTAAGTGAATTAGTATTGTAACATTCATCAGTTCTCAAATTAAGGTGAAATAAGCAGTGATACTGCTGCATGAATTAGTTAAAAACAATGTAAAAAAAATTTTATAAAAAGAGAAAGATATCTTTATAATTGATTTCATCTTCTCAATAGGCGTGTCCCTTTTTGATGGAAGTCTACACAGAGGACTGCTCAGATGCAGAGCTCAGAGTGACTGGTATCAAAGATGGAGGTTCTGCATTAGATTCAGCTGTCTGTCAATCTGTTGTCAGCAAGGTAGGTTGATACTAGTACCCGTCTGTGAGAACTTTATTTTTTACAAAAATTTTGATTTTGCCATATTCTTTCAACCTTGCTTTCCCAATGACACCCCTAGAGGTTTAAGTAGGGGGTGAGATTTTTCCAACTAATGGTGGATTTCCGACTTTTTGGGTGGCGTTGGTGCTCACAACAGTAATAAGATTTTCCCAATGATTAGCAGATTCCTACTTTTGGGAGCCAAAAAGTCTTATCCCTGATAAGTGGAAAGATAAATAAGCCTTATCCTTCATGTGGTTTATCATATTGTAATTAGTACCACCAGCGTGTACGCTGGCGGTACTCCATGGTTTTAGTNTGGAAATGTTGCTACATCATAGCTGAAGTTGGGTGTGAGATTACCCAAGTATGTCACTAGTAGACATGTTGTGAAGTTATCCACAAACACTCCCCAAACATGGTCAGGCAAAAACTTTTGATATTCAGCATGCTGATTGGTGTGTTTGTCTTTGCTGTAACTGGTGATGTCCATTCTGAACATTTTTTTAAACTTTTTCTTGGGTCTAAAATTTTATGAACTTCAACTTGGGGCATGATAAAGAGCAGATGTGTACATCTTTAGAGGTGTAACTTTGTCAACCCTCTGATGAAGCAGCACCTGTCAAATTACCCTGCTCTGTTTTATAGCAATCGCATTTCAATGTGAAACAAATTTAGTTCATGATTTCCTCTACTATTTATAACTTGTAACATGCGGTAATGTTCAAATATTTGTTGAGATAACATTTGCAGTAGCTGGTCCTACTCATTGCATAACTGTGACGAGGAAGGGAGTTTCCGTAACACAAGTAGCAGGTATAATACCTCATCAGAAGTAGCTGTGAAAAAAGTTATAAGAACCCCAGTAAGAAGTCTCTTGTAGTACTTGTGGCAAATAAACATTGTCTGCCAAATACACCTGTTTCTCTCTAAGAACACTGTATGTGTGTTAACATCTCCATTAGCAGACAGCTTTGAAGATGACCCGTCATGGCGGTAAGTGGTGGCCTCTCATCAGCTGCAGCACTAATGTTTCTGTGTTTCAAGCTCCTAGAAGGCTGTTTACTGAGGGAGAAATATGCATGCTTTGGCATGGCTGCCAACGGAAAAGATCTCAGAATGTGAGGAGCTGTTGTTTACTGTGGTATGAACATTGGAAGAACACCAGAAAACAATACAAAGAACACAAGAGCCGTGCGCAGTCAGATACGTGTAAAATGTGCACATGCAGATTGAGTGCAAGCTAGGGCGGATTGAGGCCGTCTTCTGGGTCTTCTGGTTGATAGTCAGAATTTTTCAAGTCTTGCATTGTTTACCCTGAGTGTCAGAGCAACATAAAAATTAGCTTGTAAATATTAAATATACCTTGGAGTCATTTTTACTAGCTCTGAAGACCAGCGGCCATGTTAGGCTTCCGTCAATCAAATAGAACTGCTCTGCAGTGAAACTGCAGTTGAATGTCATTAGACCAAAATGAAACATAAAACAAATTCAATTCTGCTTTATTTAATTTTATTTACTGTATTTAAAGAATAAATGAAAAAATGAATAATATTCTTCGAAAAAAAAAGATATATCAAATGTTTTTGTATTTTTTGCTTATCAAAGAACATTTAGTCCTGAGATATACATGTGCGCAATACACGTGCTTGCCTTGTGCCAAGTTTGACAGCTACACTGTATGCCCGATACCACTATAAGGGCTGCGCAATGGCTACACGAAAATAAGTTTTTACAGCAGAATGTTGCTTGTATTGTGGCACTGACCTTCGACTGCAAGATATTTTCAATTCAAACTTCTAACTCTGCGTCAGGCACTTTAATTGCTTCTTGTCTCGTGTGCACGAGATAACTTCAGCGCAAGGCGGGAAAGGCAGCTCCAGGCGGTCAAACCTGTGACGTACGAGACTTGTAACTTCCAAATATGGATCCAGGCGGACACAGCTGTGACATGTGACTTCCAAATATGGAAGCGCCCCAGGCAGAATTTTGAAGAAGAACGCCCCCGAGTTGCCGCTGTTCGCTAGAGTCTGGTATTGCTAATATGGGTTATATATATGAAATCAAGATCGAGCTACCGGAATCTAGAACCTAGGGAAGCATTGTTGGGCATCTAATTTTTCTGTTGAAAGATGGTCAGAAATGGAGGATGGATCAACAAAGTGAATTTAAAAGACTGTCAGAAAATATCTCTGGATCCACCCCTGTGTTGGTCACTATGTTGTGTGGTATAACTTCCACTAAATTGACGTGTGGCATTACTTTAGGTGTCCTAGTATGCTGCCACAGTGCAGAGATTGTCCTTTTATGCTGTGTTTATTCCTTTTATGTGGAAAACTGTTGCACTTTAGTACACTGCTTTTTTAACAGGGAAATTCACAGGTTTTCCTTCATAGCTGGCATTCTGTCTACATATCTGATTTAAAATTTTGACATTGTGTTATGTGTACCATTGTGTTAGCTGTGACAGTGTTTTGGGTATGGCAGTGTGTTAAATGTGACATTGTGTAGGGTGTATAATTGTGTTAGTTGTGACAGTGTATTAAATTTGTTCAATAAAGACCCCCCCAGTTAACTGATTGATAAAACTGCATTTTGGCAGGCACAATGTCTCATAGTAACATGACATTTTGTACCTGCTGAGCAGTTGCCATTGTAGTGTTTATCACTGTTTCTGTGGTTTTCTTTTTATGATCACTAATTAGATTAGTTACAGATCAGCAACCTCTTTTGAAGATTATTTTTAGAGTTAAAAAGCCAAAGTAAAAAAAAAACAAAAACTTTTAGTGAAACTTGGTCTTAAGAAAATACAGCAGAACATTTCAGAGACTATTCTTGTGGGTTACACAGTTGCTGCTGGCTATATGACACATTGCTTTACTGTCTGTTTGTCCTTTTATTAGTACCACCAGCGTGTACGCTGGCGGTACTCATGGTTTTAGTCCCGACCCGTCTCGTACAGCTCCGCCGGCTCCTGCGGCTCCGCCGGCTCCTGCGGCTCCGCAGGATGACTAGGATACAAGTCACCGTTACCGCTTCTCCTCCTAGACCGCAAGGACCTGTGTCCCCATCTCTTGGATTTAGGTCACATATAATCTCAACTTGAACACCCAGGTTTTTTTGTCTCAGTTGGTGCATTGACCTGGGCGTGACGCTTGTTGAAACGCACCCTTGTCAAAATGTTTGAAAATTCAATGCTAAATATCTCCCAGACCGATGGAATTATGGGAAAAATTTCTACAGATGGCTGACCGAAAGTCATATGTGAGGATTTCAAATATGCCCTTGGATTTGACCTTTGACCTTTATTTCAAGGTCAAATGGGCCAAAATTTTCTAAAAATAGGAATTTTTTGCGAGAAAATTTTTATTTCAGCCCATTTTCAGAAACTAAACAGATCTTACCTATAATATTATGGGCAGGTGTTACCCTTAGGGTCATCTTTCATTTTCGTGAGTTTGGGGTCAATCGGTGCATTNAATTTCAGTTATTTTAGGACATAAGACCAAGTATATCAGCAACAAGAACTTCTTATTATTGGTAACAATGTGATTCTCAGGTAACCTTCATCTTAATAATCTCTCTCTCTCTCTCTCTCTCACACACACACACACACACACACACACACACACACACACACACACACACACACACACACACACACACACACACACACACACACACACACACACACACAGCCTAGCAAGACTGAGACTTGGATCAAACTGGTTTCTAACGAGAACTTATTTCACAAAATAAGACCAAATGTGATAGTTACCTTAAAACTTTTCCAAGTGTGTTTCTACTATGCTACAGCTTGGTAAGTTTTTACACTAAACCTCAAGATGGAAAATGAGACAGAAACAAGTGGTCCCGGGCCCATGGTCCCTGGGAATTCAGTACAACAGGCAGCTAGCTAGCTAGCTATGTGGTTTCTGAAGTATGTTATCAGTTCCAAGGGGACTGTTCACAACTGGTCTAACCTAGACAGGATCTAGATTAACAGATAGATCTATCAGCAGACACAGAAATCAAATAAGAACCCTCAACCAATCAAGATCTGATTTTTTACTAGTAAACCCCATGTTAATCAACTTGGACACCAGCAGACCTAACATATGGCCTACTCTCAGTCTAAGATGGACTGGCTGTGAACACGGCTGGGGTGAGTTAAACCAGGGAGGCATGTCATTTATCTCCATGGTACATCATGCGTATTAGAGATATCAGGTGCTGATATACTGACCAGACACGCCTGTGGTCAAGTTATACTTCCTGGACATGCAGTGGTTTACTTATATATATTTAACTGTACATCCATCACTGGTGCATCTGTAACTGGCGTAAAGCGTCTGTGCATGTAAGCATGTTAGGCTTGAGTGAATGAGTGGGGAGAGGAAATAGAGGGAAAATGTGGCATGTATAAACCAGTCACAAATACCTGGATACAAGCAATACACCTAAACAATCCGCTGACCAATATGTTTCACTGATGCAGCTATTCTCATTTTATTTCATTGCCACATAGTGTGTGTGTATGCGCATATGTGTATCCAGGTGATACAAGTGCGCACACACACACTAGTACACACACAGGCATGCACACACAAACATGCACAGACTTCCCTTCATCTACCCACGCAGACTCACAACCTCTACACCTATCATTTAGAAAAAAAATCTCTTAGTATATTGGAAGGAGACAGTGGAGACATTCCTTAAGTACCAATTTGTAGCAAGTATGCATGTTCATTATCTATTCAAAGTCTCAAGGCAGAAATGACAAATGTCCATAAGACAACCTGTTGAATAGACAAACAGCAGCTTTTTTGAAGGGAAAGTCCCTCATGTTAAAAGGAAATGTCCCCATTTGACAGGCCTTCCCTGAGGGCCAGTATAAATCATCATAAATAGTTTTATCCTCGTAATAATAATAGAGAGATTCAGTTGTTAGGTCAACAGCACTGTAAGTCACAAAAAACCACACAGCATCATACAGACTT